AATTTACAGCTTTCTCCATTATCTGCACAGCAGGGGGTATTCTGTCAACAGTGGAAGCATTCCCTGCTGGTTACCTGCTTTCAGCAATAGGGGTCCCTGTTTGGTAGTACCCAATTGGTTAGCTGTCAAATTCTAGAGCTCCCTATTGGTGGCTCTTAGGTAATTCACAAAATACAGAGTCCATTCATAGAACACAGTGTTCATTCATAAAGCAGTAACATAAATCTCCATTGCTACATATTGGGTGTATATTTCAGCGGTTGAACGTACAATTTATGGCCATGCTATAGTGTAGTGCTTATGAGACTCTGAATAAAAGGTGGCTGGGCTCATTGTCTCGGGGTTTGGGGGGGGAGAAGAGGTTACAAATCTGATTTCCAATAAGTGCCCCCCTTTCTTTCCATAAGAAGTCCTTGAGTCTGTACTCTGAATAGTGACACCAGGGACCTAGAAGGTGCAGGGCTTGTCAGTCCAACCCCTGCACAGTCTCATCAGGGCTGACCTTAAGGCAATTGGAGCAATTGGGCCAAATTGGGCCCCGCGTGCTGCTCCTAAGGAGTCCCCTGCACCAGGGCAATCTAGATGGATTTTATTTATATCTATAAGATTTTGCAGACTTTGGCTGTGAACTGGGGCCCTACCAAAAAAACAACAACAAGTTGCACCCCACTGCTTCAAATTGGACCCCACTGGCTAGCCCTGAGTCTAATAGTTTCTGGGCCTGAGTTGCCCTGTCCTTGCATGAAGTCTTGGGTTTACAATTTTGGGAGAGGGGAGACTGCGGCACTGGAGAGAGGGCAGGCTTGCAAGCAACCACATGCTGCAACCACAGGTGGGAGATGGAGGAGCAGGAGAAGCCGCCGATACCTTTTCCTCCCTATCTCATTGGGAGATCTGAAGGTACATGACTCTCCTCTAGCTTTCAACAGAGGAGGAGAACCTGTGGCCCTACAACTCCCATCATCCCTGACCATTGACCATGCAGACAGGAGCTGATGGGATTTGGAGTCCAACAATATCTGTTATAGTGACTAGTGGGCCCAGGTAAGCAAGCCAAAGGCACGAGTCCCATTTTGAAAATAGTGACTATGTGACCTTCGCTGAGAGCATTGCTATGGTTACTACAAAGCACAAGCGACAATTGCAACAAATGCTCTTAAAAGGCACTGTTTGGTGGTGGCTTTATTATTTTTTTAAAATCGTGAGTACATAAAAGAAAAGGCACAGAACCCCCTCACTGAGCCCAGGGATCCTTTCTCAGAAAGAAGTCGTGTGGAGCTCCATGGATAGGACTTCCAAGTAACCTACGCATAGGGTTGCAGTCAAAAGCAAACAAAGTACTCAGCATTTATAACCTGCATCCAGATGGCTTGCTCATGATACCGAATACTGCACAAGGCGATATTTTGATTGCAGAAACTATAGACTGCACAGACTAATTTCTGCCCACTTATTGACACAGGAAGTAAAAGCATTCCAAGCAGTTTGTTTTCAAGCTGCTAAGGGTATTCTGGGAAGGTTTTAGATTAGGAAAAACTCCACTCTCAAGACTAGTCGAGTGATCGTCCATGGACAACACTGGAGTGCAGTACAACAGGTTGGGACAAAGAGGGTGTAGCTAAGGAGGAGCCATAGCTCAGCAGCAGAGCCCCTGATCTGTGGGGAGAAGGTCCCAGGATCAATCCAAGGCATCTCCACTTCACAAGGATCAGGCAGGAGGGGGCGGGAACGAGAGCTCCCTGAGAGCTGCTGCCACTCTGAGCAGACAATAGTAGGCTGAATGGACCTATAGGGTGGATCTCACGCAGCTTCCCAGTTTATACCGAAATGCTTGCTTGATTCTCATGTTCGCATTGAGAGCCAATATAGCACAATGGCTATGAGACAGTTTATATCCCACATCTACCACAAACCTCCAGAAAGCCACTGTTACTAGGCCTTTGCCTTGTTCTTCACTGCCTTAAAGATGATCCCGGGAATTTCCTGGAAGCATAATTAGCCCCCTCACCCCAGTAGTGAGCTTTGGCTTTTAATAAGAGTGCCAGTGGCTAAAGGTGGTTCCCTTCCTTGGTCCTGTTGGGGTGGTAAGCAATGAGCGTTTGGTTCAGCACCACAACATCTCACCAGCCTCCTCTGTGTTTCTCATTTCTCCCCACTTCCATGAACATCAGTGGTGGCAAACCTGTGTGGCCGTCCGGGTGTTGTTGGACTACAATTCCCATCAGTCCCAGCCAGCATGGTCAATGGTTGGGGATGATGGGTGTTGTCATCCAGCAATTGCATCTCTACCTCCTGCCCTGACCTGCCCTGAAGCTGCCTTGTGTGGTCTAAGTAGATGCATTCTTGGCCAAAGCCAAATGACTCCAAGAAGTCAGCAGAGCATCAAACTCTCCCTTCCCGGGTCCAATCAGGAGAAAGAAACAAGACTGGCTCCTCCTCCAGCAGGTCAGGTGAGTAAGTAGGCTGCTGGCTGAGAGAGGGGCTTCAACATAATGCTAACCCAAAGCCTGCTTGCTGGCCAAGTGGTACAAAGCCACTGTGGGTGTGGCTCCACTGCTTACTCCTGGCACAGGGTGTTTGCCAAGTCACCCCCTGCAGGCAGCACCTTGGGGAGTGCTAATCACATCAGTCCAGTACATCTCCTTCAGCTTGTGCTGAACTGAAGAATGGCCATTATTTTGGGGTCACTGGTCAAATGCGACTTCACAGCGTCTTAACGACACAGTATATTGATTGAAGTCTCACAAAGAACAGTCCTCTGATGTCGCTGGATGCAATTTTTAAAAAATCAGGTTCCGTCTAAAACAGAAGCTGTTATCCCAAACCCTCCAACGTTTCTCCGATGAAAATAGAGATGTCCCATTGCATAATGATAATTTTACTATTTATACCCCACACATCTTATTGGGTTGTCCCAGCACCCCAGGCAGCTTCCAACGTATATAAAAACATAATTAAACTTGTGCTGGTCTTTACTTCACAGGAGGCATAAAGGTAAAGGGACCCCTGACCATTAGGTCCAGTCGTGACCGACTCTGGGGTTGCGGTGCTCATCTTGCTTTATTGGCTGAGGGAGCTTCCGGGTCATGTGGCCAGCATGACTAAGCCACTTCTGGCAAACCAGAGCAGCGCATGGAAATGTGTTTACCTTCCCGCCGGAGTGGTGCCTATTTATTTACTTGCACTTTGACGTGCTTTTGAACTGCTAGGTTGGCAGGAGCAGGGACTGAGTAACGGGAGCTCACCCAGTCATGGGGATTCGAACCGCCGACCTTCTGATCGGCAAGCCCTAGGCTCTGTGGTTTAACCCACATCGCAGATTAAACCATAGTTTAAAACTGACAAACTATGGCTTAAACTATGTACACATTAGTGGCTCAAAACACAGTATGGTTATTTCCCCCGCACACGTACACACATACACAAACACACAAAACCACTGCATTTTAAGTTACATCTACCTCAGTGCTGTCTACACTGACTGGCAGCTGCTCTTCAAATATTGAAGCCAGAAATTGATTCTGAGAGAACTGTTGTGCAAAGCGTGTGCTCTGACACTGAGCCATGCTCTCCATTTTCCTGGCTCTGTGCTATAAGTTTCCATTATATAATTCTGATATCTGATACACTAGACTCTGTATAACAACACAGATCTGAAAATCTTCCCTTAAGGAACACGGGGCCAAACATCTAACTGAAGTTTATTAATAAAAATGAGTAAAATGCCTGGGCATTTTATTATTATTATTATTATTATTATTATTATTATTATTATTATTATTATTCACTACCTCCATGTGATTGGAGCCAGTTTGTTAGGGCAGAATAGAATCTGCATTCGTACCTCTGGCATTTTGGCATGGAACTGAGAAATTTATGGTCATTACATATTGGGTAGATATCACATGTTCTGTACCTTTGCTTTTCTTAGCATTCTTGCCCCAAGGATAACGACTCTGCAGGATTGTTTTGGAGACTATGGGTTCAAAATGATTTTGCATTTTGGAACTGGAGTTCGCCATTGAGGCAATAATGAAAAAGCATAAGGATCCAAATTTGCAAGGGGACTATTTGCACCCAGCATGGCACTGTGAGTGTTCCATGCTGCTATAAATGTTGTCTAGTCTGGAATCCATCACCTGTGAATGTTGATAAGGTGAGGCAGCAAATGGAAGAGAGCAGTTTTTAAATCAAGCGCACATGATAGGCAATGCAGCTCTCCCCCCCCGTCAATTTATAGGCATAGGGAATGCAGAGAGAGAGAGAGAACATCGAACATCTAACAGTGGCGTAGCGTGGGGGGTGCAGGGGGGGGGCCGGCCGCACCGGGCGCAGCATCTGGGGTTAGGGCAAATCCACGGGTTAGGGGGCACAAATCCACAGGTTAGGGGGCGCAAATCCACGGGTTAGGGGGCGCAAATTACTTGCCTTGCCCCGGGTGCTGACAACCCACGCTACGCCGCTGACATCTAATTTCCTTTAAAGACGTAGAGTAACGCACAGTTGCCAAACCTGCTTTTGCAGGGGAAGGAGGGAACTAACCGTAAAGTGGTAAATATTTATGCAATTTTAATGTGTTCTAGCTTCTAGCAGAGGACAGACCCGATCAACACGTGGCATAGGAGGGGCCTCCTCCGCATCCCCCTTCGCTCAAATCCAAGGCAGTTCACGGCACAGGAGTAACGTGGGGCAGCAGTCCTGATCAGTTGACACCACAGGAAGCGCTGCCATGGACTTCAGAGCCAGGTGAGCTCCACTCCGCTTACGAGGTCTTCTGGAGGGGGTCTCCAATCATACCCCGCAGATGAAATGAGCCATACCGTCCAGTCTTCCTGTCTGCGGCGGCATTCGGTGGAAAGTGCTGCCCCCTAGCGCCCGCCGGCTGCAACTGGCCCAGACTTTCCAGAGCAGAGTTTTCCCTGGCCATATAAAACAGCCCAAGGCGGAGGAATCCGCGGAGCGAGGAGCGTCTTCTCCGTCCTCCTCCTGCGACCCCGCACCTGCCTCGCCGGCTACTTCTTACTCCGCCTCCCGTTCCTTCTCCGTCGGCTGATCCCGCGCCAGGTTTTCACTCTCGCCTCGCAGCGCCCCTCTCTTCCCTGTCTCTCTTCTCCCCGATCCAAAGCGGATTTCGAAAGGCTGCCCGCAACAGGCGGAGGCGGGCTCCGCGCCCTGGACGGGTCCGGGAGGCGGCGGCGGCAAATGGGGATCTGAAAGCGAGGATGGCGAGGAGGAGGTGACTTTCCAGCTGCGCTCCGGATCCCGGGTCCCGTCGCCACCCGGAGCGCCCAGAGTGCCAAAGGCGGACTTCCCAAGGTGAGTGGCATAAGCCCAGGGCGAGGGAGGAGGAGGCGACTTGGGGAGGGGTCCTCAAAGGCGCTAGTCCTCAAGGCGCTCTCACCCGGAGTCCGTCCCAAGCAAGCAAATGGGGGGGGGGGGGAAGCATGCATAGGATCGGGTTGCGGGAGCTATGAGCTAAGCAGCCGTCCCCACCCCCCACCGACTCGCGGTTCAAATCCAATCCCAGCCCCTCTCCTCTTTCTGCAATATAGTGTTCATTGATGAGGGGGCGCGAAGTGCTTTGGACCCCGTACACACTGGCTGTCCAGAACGTGTGCCTCATCCTGTCATACAAGTTCCCGACCCAATCGAGGGATTTCTGACTTTGGCCGAGGTTTCCCGTCCTCCAAGATCCGTTGCTTCCCCTGACTTGGAGCATGTGCAGATATTTTTATTTTTATTTGGCCCTTGGCTCTCATGAGTGCATGAGGGCTGGGGGAACCTGTGTTGCTGGACTCCACATGTTGCTGGGCTCCAGTTCCCATCATTCCTGACCATTGGCCAGTCCACCATCCTCTGCCGGGCCACAGGCTCCGCAGCTGGTGGCTGCAATTCAGAAAAGCGACCTTTCTAAAGCAGGAAAGGGGAAGAGCCCGTGGAAGTGGAGGAAACGGTTCTGCAGAAGCAGGCAGGCAGGGCAGCCGAATTTTGGCTCTCAGCAATAGGGGAAGCTTCCTAAGTGGTTTGACCATGGGCCAGGCTGCGTTGGAAGGTGGTAGGAATCCCTTCAGTATTGTATTTGTTTATTTATGTTAAATTGCTATCCTGCCCTTCCTCCCAAAGGTATTTAAAGAGGGGCTAGAAAACTAGCTCTCAGAGATGCTGCGGGCGGCTGCATCCTGCATTGCAGATGAGCCCTGGGGTTGGGCTGGATGGCCTCCCAAGGTCTCTTCCAGCTCCATGATTCACTGAGCTAGTGTAGCCATTAAAGGAAGGACTTGGGCTCCCATGCAGTGAAATGAGCAAGAGCACCTCCAAACCCAGCAGGGCTGGCATATTACTGTACCACAGTTTTGAAGTCAGTGTAGTTATGCATAATTACTTTGGAAAGAGGATTGGGCAGGAGGGTTCAAAGACCTTTAAGTCCAGAGTTTAAGATGACCTAAATGTACCACTTCACTGTCATGGTTGTTGTCGTCGTTAAATTCTGTGATTGGGGATTGTGTTCGCTGTATGTAACCGGGAAACGTCATTCAATGTAGACGGGGATTTATTATCTTTCTGGCCAAAAGGAAGCTGAACATAATACAAATCGGGGGAGGGGTGGGGGTGGGGGATAGGCTCCTCTGTGTTCTCACAGCTGAGTCACTGGGCCAGGAAGCAATCAAAAGCAATATCTTGTCAGTTTCAGCCAGCAATGCTACAAAGTGCCTAGTCGAGAGTGGAGCATCCGTCACCTCCTTTAGATATTGCCAGAAGAGAGTTAGGCCACCGTGGAGGAGCCAGTGGGACTTCTTCAAAGTTTCTTTCACCTATTGATGAAGGAGGGGGGCAGTTTATAGATTACATTGAAGCACCAGCACAGGTCTCTTCCCAACTTCTGTTCTTCTTTCAAATATCTCCTTGGACATGACTTGCTTTGTGTACAAATCAATCAGCATCACTGTTTGCGTAGAGCGCCTCCCTCATCCTATTGTGCAGCGGTCCGTCTAACTAGGAAGGCAAACTGTACCTGCAGGAAGTCCCACTGGAATCTAAGGAAATGCCTCAGGATTGTGAGGTGTGAATATCAGATTTGCCCTAGTTAAGTGGTAGAGCATCTCATCGTGTGCAGAAGGTCCCAGGTTCAATCCGAAGTAGAACTGGGAGTGCTCCATTCTGAAATCCTGGAAAGTTGATGCCAGTCAGTGAAAACAGTACTGAGTTGGATAGACCCATGTGTAGGGCAGTGTCCTATGTTCCTTTGGGAGAAGCAATGTGGTGTAGCGGTTAATAGCGTTGAACTGGGACATGGGATACCAGGGTTCAGAAAATCCTTACACAAACCTCTGATAAATCACTAGGAATGTATTTATTTTATATATGTTTATGTTGATACCCCACTTTGCTCCAAGAAGCCCAAATAAGTGTGTGTACTGTCTTCTCACAACAACCCTGCAAGGTTGGCTGGTCTTTGAAAAATTGACTGGCCCAGTGGTCAGCCAGTGAGCTTCATGACTGAAGGGGGGACTTCCACAAGAGCACGCCAAGCCCTTGTGTGATACTCTAACCACACTTGCTTATGTGAATTCACCCTATTCCAGCAACATGTGTAACTGTTGCAGACTGAAATGTGCAGATAGATGTACATCTATATTCAGATGTTCATGCAGGCCCTGTCCAGAGGTGTCTTTTTTGAAGAAGATGATTAAGATACAGCTCCCCTTATAGTTCCACTCATTATGGCACGTGGCAACAACTGGCTTCTGTGCCAAGGATTGAGCAAGGTAGCATTCAGGATTTCTTCCAGGTTGGCAAAGTGAAGCATATCATTGAATTTAGGTTGATTTCTAACTTTGTCAGTATGAAGCATGCATTTGGAAATGTTCCTGTATCATACCACAAAAAGGCTGCCTGGATCAACCATACAGGTCACTACCTAGAAACCGTCCCCTGTGAATGTGCAGTACTTCTTAAGGGCGTGCTAGCCCACCATTCCTGGCCAATAGATGCTGGTAGTTTGGTTTCCCATGGACAGAACATGAAAGTCTGACTGTCGTCACCACTAGGGACTAAGCTGTCAGCAAGAACATTCAGGCACTCCTCAGCTTCTCCAAGGAGCACTTCTGCAGTGTGGGTGTTGGCAGGGTTCCAGCCTTAGCCAAGCGAGGCAGCAGGCAGGCATTCAGCTTTAAGGTTATGGATGCTGAGAAGGTGGTTCTAGTGTTTTGCAGATGGTAGTTTCATTCATTGCACTGCAGAGCTGCATGGGGTGGAGGAAGAAGTCACTCTTTTCAGCCCAAACTTCACCTTAATTAGTGGAGACGCCAGAGTCTTGCCTAGTCTGCTGATGCTACATAACTAAGGCTGCAATCCTAATCTCAGTTACCTGGGTGTAGGCCCCTACTGAGCACAGTGGGATTTACTTATGACTAGACAAGGGACGCGGGTGGCGCTGTGGGTAAAAGCCTCAGCGCCTAGGGCTTGCCGATCGAAAGGTTGGCGGTTCGAATCCCCGCGGCGGGGTGCGCTCCCGTTGTTCGGTCCCAGCGCCTGCCAACCTAGCAGTTCGAAAGCACCTCCGGGTGCAAGTAGATAAATAGGGACCGCTTACTGGCGGGAAGGTAAACGGCGTTTCCGTGTGCTGCGCTGGCTCGCCAGATGCAGCTTTGTCACGCTGGCCACGTGACCCGGAAGTGTCTGCGGACAGCGCTGGCCCCTGGCCTCTTAAGTGAGATGGGCGCACAACCCCAGAGTCTGTCAAGACTGGCCCGTACGGGCAGGGGTACCTTTACCTTTACCTTTACCTTTAGACATGTTTAGGACTGTGCTGTTACTCTGTAAAAGTTAATATACCGATATATATAGAGAGAGAGAGATGTGTGTGTGTGTGTGTGTGTGTGTGTGTGTGTGCATGAGTGCCAGCTGAAGGTAACATTTCCAATTTCTGATCACGAAGACTTCTAATCTATAAAACCTTCTGCCACATGTTAATTTTCAGTGTCCTGCTGTCTGTATAGGCAGAGGCATGACACATAAATAAGAGACTCTGGGTAAAAATTATGCCAGTGATGGCAGCTGCAGAATTAGTGAGCAGACAAAGTTTTTTTAATGTCTTCTAAACATAAAATATCATAAGAATACTCTCTGCTGGAGACTATGAAGATATTTCTAAACCATCAGCTGTGCAATGGGTTCTAAATTATTTACCAGCAGCAGCAGCAGCGCTTTAAAAATCATTTTATCACTGGCAGCTACATACCTCGCCGCTCTTTCATCCACACGGTGTAATAACTCCCAGAGTAAGCTGCACGCATTTCCATCTGTTTCATTTTCCTGGGGTGGGGGAGCTTCATAATATGCGTTCAGCTCTCCCTGAAGATGTCAAGGCAAAGTAAACTTACAGCTTTTAAACTAGAGGAGAACTTGAGGTGTGATTCCCCCCACTTTTTAAAGGACCTATTTTCATCAAGTAAATCCCATCAATTTAGTTTCAGTAAGTACGATTTCTTCAGCATCGTAAAATATTCTGCATTCGTCTCAATGAACATGTGGAATTACCCTGCCATTTTAAAAGTTCCCCAGTGGTAAATTCTTCTTGCAGGCGCTTCCAAGTATTACTTTCACCATCCCACATGTTACAGATGTAGTTGTTTTGTGCCTATTCATTTCTCAAAGTCTTCTACCTTTCACACTGAGTGTTGCATTAGCTTCATAGAGGTTTCTTTTGTCCTCGAAAAAATAATGTTAGCACTTACAAAACAGCTCCTTGGAAAACAACTACAGTTTTTCATAGACAAAGAGCAGAATACTAAGCACCGAGGAAAATCCGAAATGCTCTTGCTGCATCTTAATATTCTATATCTTCCATACCCTCCAACATTTCTCCGATGAAAATAGGGATGTCCTAAGGAAAAGCAGGACATTCTATTCCAGGGTCAAATCAGAAACTGAGACAGCTTCTGTAAATCCGGGATTGTCCCTGGAAATAGGGACCCTTGGTGGTTCTGGTGTTTCAATATACTTTGAAACAGTGTAAAAGATAACTATATATATGAAGGGGGGTCTTTTAGTTCAGGAGGTAAGGTCCAAGAACTCTCAGTTCTGCACACAAGCCAAATAAGTAATTGCCAAGCTAGCCATGCAGTTAGCACAATTTTTTATTTTTTTTAAAGTGAGCTGCAAGCATAGGAACGTAAACTGGATTTGGTCCCTGATAGGGTTGCCACCATTGTTCTGTACAAGACAGTGCGGGGGCTGTTGGGAGGCGATTTTTTTTCATCTGGTGCTGAAGTAACTTCAAAGCAATCCATTGCAATCTATTGCAGCCAAACAGA